TTTTAAAAATCTATTTTCCCAAAATAAATTCCCATTCCCACACCTCTGTATTTTCCGTAGTTTCCCTCTATTTTCCGTCCCGGCAACATGGGAATTAATGGAATTTTGAAATTTTCATGAACATTAACTATACATCTATATTCGTTTTAATGTACAGTAAATTTATAGTATATTAAATTATTAAAATTTCAATTAAAGTTATTAATTATCAACTTTAAGCAAATAATCGAATAACTATTAAAATAAATATTATATTACAATAATTATTAATTGATACAAATTATTCGAATTTAATTTATATAATTAATAAGACTAATTGTTCCCATAAGCCATACATGCAGTACAATATACAGAGATATACAAGGAATTTAAATTAAAACATTTTTCATGATTCATTATTCTGTAAAAATTATAATATTAATTTTCATCAGTATTATAATCCTAATGTTTATGTATTGGAAAATATACTTTTAAATTCTTTATAAACATCTGTAATGACATATTGGATAGGAGTGTAAATATAATATTTTAATAAATCTGTGTAATTATAATGCTATGAATGATTCAAATATCCATATCTATAACTCGATGCTTAACTGTAAGATGTAAATTGATAACATTATTTGACAATTAATTAATAACTAAAATAATTGCATTATTTATTGCACTAATAAATGTTTACATAGAAATCGACAGTAATATCAAAAAGTTGGTTTACTATAACGGGTATAGTTTAACAAAGCAGTATATTATAAATTAAAAATCAATTTAATTAACTTATTAATAATAGGGTATTAGAAATGATTGGCAATGAATTGAATGGCAATTAAATGTGAGATATAGTGGTAATGAGAGCGCCGTCTGTGGGCTCTCAATACGGACTCTATGTGTAAACAAACATACGGTCAGTGAATATGCAGTGAATACACGGCTATTGTATTGAATCCAATATTCAGTGATTTAATACTCTATTGAATCTCATTATAAACTAATTATCGTCTGTTTTGACACACATTTTCAGACATCAAATGTTTGCCACAATCTTATAAGACATCTACAAATCATTGGCACATCTATTGTGAGTATATATCGCATGAATTGAACGCTTTGTTTGACTCAATGTTTTCAATGCATTCATTTGATTGCAAATATGTTTTGCATTTTTATGACTGATTTAAAACATTGAATGAATGAATGGTTTGATTGTGTGTTAATTTGGTTTACATTTTCCATATGTCTAACCATTGGATGTGTTGTTCAACTGAAGAGCGGATCAAATGGCGCGCAAGAATCGGACGAAGAAGGGCTCGACAACGGGTGCGGAGGTGTACGACGTGGAGGCCATTGTCTCCAAACGGATCAATTGCGGAACCGTTGAGTACAATGTCAAGTGGTTTAACTACCCGTCGGAACAGAACACGTGGGAACCGATCGACAACTTAGACGGCAGTAAAGAGATGATCGATGAGTACGAGTCCACACATAAGGGAGAAGCGGTGCCCGAAACCGAGTTCCTCGAAGTGGGCAACGGTTTCGACCAGAACTGGACGCCCGTTAAGGTGTTCGGCGCCACCAAACGGCCCACCGATGGCCGACTCATGGTTATGATCAGATGGAAGGGCAATAAGTCGTCGTTCGAGTTCGCAGATGTGGCCAATAATCTGATCCCGCAGTTAGTGATCGCTTATTACGAGCAACGGATCCGATGGAAGACCGGCGATAAACTGGAGCGCAACACATGCTATACGAGTGACATCGACGACAGTAACTCAGTGTCGGCCACACAATAGCCATCATTTCATTTCATTATTTAATTGTTGTGTTTTTTTTATCTTCCAATTCATTAATCGTTGTTTATCTGATTGACAAAAGTGTTGACACATTTGGTCTCATTGTGTTTAAAGTATTGTTAATTTAATTTCTCATAACATTGTAATAGTCTTTGAGAACCGCTCCGACCCGTCGGTCACTCAAATGATTACCATTTAATTATTTGTTTCAATATTTGAAGTTTTGACTTTATTTAAGCAATAATTTGAAGTCTTAATTATTTGCCAAAATATGTGACAATTTTTTTTGTATAAATATTTGTTTTTATATAAATATTTCAAACATTTTAGTGTATAATTTAACTGTAATTATTATAAAACATAATTTATAAATAACTTATTTTGACATTTATCTTGTAAATTCATAAACATTTGAATTCTTAAAAATAAAACCATATTTTCATATATCATATGTTTTTTTTGTAATAAATTCTTGATTTTGAGTGAAATGTTTTTCAAATGCAACAAATCTCTACATATTTTACAATATATTTTCCATTCAATACTCACGAAATCCAAACTTGAAATTTTTGCGAATAACAAACACTTAAAATTCATACAAAAACAGTGAATCAGTTGGAAATCATAGCAATGGAAACACAGATTCTGCAAAATAATGCAATTTTTGAATGACATTTACTTTAATACAACCGTATGTTTAAGTTCTGGATATTCTCAACAGTTATGTAAGGGTAGTGTATATTACGTACCTCTCAATACACCGGCCAAACATCGATTGTTGTATATATTATTCAATACACATTCAATACATTTATTTCTTTTATTTGAATTTTTTATTTCTACATTTATTACTTAACAAATTATTTAAATATATAATTTTATGCATTATTTATATATGGAATACAATATAACTCAATTTTTAACCAAAAATAAAATAAATCGTTTGGATTTATTTATATGAAGATAATTAATAAATTGTTTAAATTCTTTATATAAATAATAAAATATGAAAAACATGTCTGAAATATAATGTATGACAGTATTATATTGTAAATTTTATAACGTTTGTGACTTTACAGTATATTAGAAATAAATATTAATATTAATGTTTTTATTAAAAGGCGAAAAATATATCATAATATTTGAGGTTATTATTGAAAATCTACGGCAATAACAGCTCTGAACCACAGATTAAATTTAAAGATATATTTATATGAATTTCTCAAAATTGAAAATCTTTGGAAAATATTTTTTCAATTTATCTCATTTTATCGATTATTCATTCAAATGCTGTGTATATTATAATAAAGTACTCAGAGATCCAGTGATGCCGAGAAGACGTAGGGATCAAATGAAGCATTAATACAATATAAATATCATCCGTTTCCTCGACAATACAGATATATTCTGTACACTTATATTGATCTAAATATTCAAAAACAGTTAACGACTTGTATTTCGTATAACAATAATAGTCATAAGAAATGCTATTTTTATAACACTTGAATCGCTATCAATCTCTATCGGCGGACATCTCTGACTTATAAATACAGTTATTTAGTATACAGTATATAACAGTATAGTATATTTGATTTTCAATATTTTACAATAACGTAATAATAATATTGACTTTTTACAGAAAGTTAACAGAATTTGAAAAATTTAAATAATCAGAAAAATATATTTGTATTTTTCTCATTTCAATGATCGATAAATTGTGTGGAATAGACACCAAAAAAATTACATTTTGTTTCGTCGAAAACTTCCAGAATTTTGAATTATATTCGTTTTCGTTATTTTCGATGAAAAAACATTTTTCACATCGAAATAGTTGTCAGAAAACCTTTTTCTAATATCTTTGATGGAAAAACCTTTTCAACATTTTTAAGGCTAAAAATCGTTTTGAATGCAAATGGTTTGCATCTCAATGGCTGACGATTGAAGTGCTTTATTATCTGAGATTGGGTTCAATTCGTACGAAGACTTTCTTCTTCTGGTGCGCTGACAATCGACAGACAAATTGCCATTTCTTACACTCTTTGGACTTAATTTTCTGAAATGATTAGTCACTAACATATTGTTGGGAACCAATAGATTATTACCACCGTTTGAATGGTGTTTCGGGTGAACGATGTCTACACTTCGCTTCTTATTGACTAAAACGCTTGAATTATTAATAAACTCGATGTCTGTCTGAGAACTATATCGCGTGTCTTCGCAATTGGAAGTGAATTCTTCGATTTGGTTAATGTATTCAGTTTTATGACATCTGTTGGCACAACACCAACACCGACACCGACGCCACGTCTCCATCAAAGTCTTCACTAAATTCTTGTTAAAGAATAATACAATCCATGGATTGACACCTAAAACAATAAACACTCAAAATATTAGCCCATTTTCAGAGACAAACAAATAAAGAGTGAAAGAGTGGGAGAGAAAGAAAGAAAGAAAGAGAGAGAGAGAAAGTTTAAAGAACTTACAGCTATTAAGACTAGGCATTAACATGAAGATAGTTATGAGAGGACCTAAAAAAGAGATAAAAAGAAGAGTTAGATTTAGTGATTGCTTTTGGATTGGATTTCATTAATAATAGACGTGAAGAAGCGATAGATTTGTGATAATCGACGAAAAGCACGCAAACGATACTACAGTATAGTATACTCTATTATACAGTACAATACTGTACAGAATTGCACAACATCTCAGGCAAATACAATTGCTTTAAGCAATGATATGCTATACTTTAGGCTTATTAGAAGTAAATTTGCTTTCATTGAGTCCCTATCGTTACCCAATATTCAATGGTTTACACACTTTGACATAAAATCTTGAATTTGTGTGACTTTTATATATCGATTGAATTAAAAAAACAAAAATAAAAACTTTTTTGTTTTTTGAAAAGACAAATGCTTAAAATTTTTGGTCAAATGCTTTGCATTCAAGGTTTAAGACGAAAAATAGATTGAAAAGGATTATAAATTTTGTCAAATGTCAAGAATTTTGTTGGATTAAAGATGAGCTTATACTTTATATCACATCATCCCTGTGTAAAGGCATTAAAAGCATTTTAAAAGATCTTTTAATAATAATACTAAATATATTTCATAAGAAATATATAAAGTTTATTAAATTATATTTTTTTAATTGAAAATGTTGTCAACTATTATAACTTATAATTTATAAGCTATTTTTAATTACTTAATATGAAATATGTCTAAATTTGCTGCGAGAAGAATAAATTAATCGATTATTTAAATTTTGTGACATTTAATGCCCTCGACATGACTTTCGCCAGAATATATTATCATTGATTTAAATCAAGACATTAAGTACTGGTTATGCTGTCAAACCTCTAATATATTGTATGTTCAATAACTATATAACGCAAAAAAGCAAATATTTATGTTTCAAATATAATTAGTTTATATTTATTTAATTCAATTATAACTAGAATTGTTAGACAGAATAATAGAATATCGATTTAACATAGCAACACGATAATTTAATATTGATTTCAATTAATTATAGATGCGATCATGGGCAAACAAATCTTTTTAAAAGAATCTATCAGATTATGAGTAAATATTTGATTACTTAATGGAAAATTAATCAATAGATTGCGAAATGTTATTATTTCAAAATATTCGCTCATTTATAAGTAAAAATTTAAATGAATTGTATCAAGAATAATTTTATTATTTATTTGTATTCTGATTAAATGAAATCATAATAAATGTTAAGCTTAAAATAACCATATTCAAAGTTTCCAATGTGAAGGTTTCGTGTAGTGATGGGATGGGAGGCGTAAACAACATTTATATCACATAAACTTAATACAAGAACTGATAGTGTGTTGTAAAGATATAATATAATAGATATACCAAACTATACTTCTACTGGTCTTGAGAAAGGGCTAAATCAGCCAAAAATTGCAACAATAGTCTGTTTATTATTGAACAATAAAGTTTTGTATATAAGGCTTTTATTTTTCGGAAATTCCCGAATAAAATTAGTCAATCAAAACCTCGGGAATTAAATACCATTAGGTTTAGAGGTTATAATAGGTTCAAAATATATCAATTTTATATTGCCAATTTTCATGAATTTGGCCAAATTTTGAAAAACTCCTGAAAATGATATTTGAGTATAAATAATCCCGAACAGACATTAAAAAAAATTTAAAAATATAACTTAAAATTTAATAAAAAAATCTTGGTAGATTGCTTAAAAAATATTTCTTTTAAACATTGCAAAGATACAATATTTGATGAAATAATGGTATGTTACAGTAAACAGTATGCTTATTCATATTATGAAGTTTGACTGCAATACAAAATATGAGACAGTTTTAGAGAAACCAATAAATGAGTCATTTAATAAGCAGACTAAACAAAATCTATGAATTAGTCAGAGAATCAGTATTTAACTAATACTTTAAAATGAACAAATTGTTGTAATAGTCATTATTGTGCTCAAAACTATGAAAAATGATCCAACACGGTTCGCCTAAACGGCAGTCTGCCGAACTGTCACAGTTCATATATTATTTTTAATGTTTGTCAATTAAACATGGCCTTAAAAATGGCATTATTTCATGTCATTACAGAATATTATCGATTATTAAATCATTCCAATACATAATTAGTGCGCCAGAAGTCAATTAAAGGATAATTTCCGGATTTTCTCAAATTCGACTGTTTTACTCCCGATTCCCGAAAGAATTTGGATGTTGTAACTCCCGAATAATTGAAGCTCTAATAATCCATAATAACCCATATATTCTACGACACAATGCGTGACATTAGGGAAAGGGATGCAAAACGAGTCCATCAAAAGTGGGCGTTTGGTTACCAAAACAAGTGACAGAAAAAATACCAAAACATATATTGATTATTAAATTCAATGAATCAAATATTTGAAATTTTTCGACTAAAAAATGTTTGATCTTTATTTCCATATAAATGATAAAAAAGAAATAAAAAATCGATTAAATTTTT